TGTCTTGTTTCAAAGTAAAACTAAAAGCTGAACCAACAGAGATCCTCCCTTGCACTAGTCAGCCTTACAGATCCCTTTCACCTCTGCCTCTGGGATGTTAAAGTACTGAATTCGGTGCTGCAACTGATTGCACTTAAAAGCTCAGCATTTAAAAAATGCATATTATTTAGTACCTGTATGTTTATCTTTTCTTGCCTTTTTTCCCCCTCTTTTTTCCCCTCTTTTTTGACATAGGGAAACTGAGGTATAGTTTTCTGTTTCATACTATTGCATATAGTAATGGCAGAGCTGAGAGAGGGGAGCTTAGTGTTTTTTGATTCCCTCTCAGGGTCTTATTATAGACTGTGTTACATCCTTAACAGACCAAAATGCAATGATGTAGAGTACGTGTCAGGATGGCATCAGAGTCCTTTAAGTTTCTTTGGTGATTTTGTCCTCCAGTTTATTTTGCAAATGTAACTTGTTCTAAATTCACAATCTAAAGTAGTAATTTTTAACGTGTGACATTTATTTCTTTACTATTCTAAAATAAAGCTATGGTGACTTAGTTTTGATTTTTTTCACTGTTTCTGTGATTCAAGCAACACAAAATCCATTCTAACGCATGTATTTAACTTGTATTGCCAAAGGAATATATTGTTTCACAATTGCATTTTAATTCCCCCAAAAGCTGACTTTAAATGGAAGGTCTATACTGTTCTAACCTTTCAAGCAATTATTGGTAGCTCATATCTTAAATTCATCTGATAGATATACATTTCTGGTGTGTCCTATCTTCTGTTGCTTAGTTAAATATTTACATACTTGCAGTTAGGCATTTCATGCAGGTCTGTGTAACTAACACTAGAGGAGAAGCATGTGGTGAAAGGAGGTAGAGAAAACTCACTGAAAATTCAGGGGAGAAAGTATTTGACATCTTCAAGGAATCTGCATTTCTGGCAGCTGGAAGCAGATTATTCCACAAGTTTGAAGCAGCTTTGTCAAAGCTCATCTCAAGGCAAATTGGAGTTTCACTAATCTGTAGTGAGCTGCAGCAGGCTTGTACATCAGTGAATTTGGATGACATGTTAGATAACGTTGAGCATAACGTTGTGTTTATAGAGTAATAGGGATATTGCTTTAGCCCATAAAAGTAGTTCAGAGCAATCCTTACGCCAGACCGGTGCTCTGTTTCCATCAGTTATTTCGCAGTCACTGAGCATTTAACAGGAATAGCTGAAGTAAAATGGATAATCTTGCTCAGTTTTAAAATTACTATTAACTTGCAGATATATATGCTTTCACCTTTAAAAAATGGAGTTGGGGGGAAGGGGCGAAGGGACAACTTCCAATCACAATAGTACAATGTTGCGTTGATGTGTTCAGAAGGAAAACAAAGTTTTGATTCTGCCAGGGCTTCAGTCAGTGGGTGATTTCTGTGTGGTCTCAAAAATCTGTGCACTGGATAGGTAGGTTAATTTGCATATTTTTAGCCCTTGTAGGCCTCACTTAGACAAAGCTTTCTATCTGACTTTTTTTCTGAAAGTTATCTAAGAAAATGGGTGTTAGAGAACCATCTCACCTGGGGAGGAGGGCCAAAGAAAAATGTTTAATAACTGACCAGGGCATCCTGGTTTGGAGAGTTCATCTCTGGATGGCAACAGTTGGAAGACCATTCATGGTAGCAGGTCTTTGCAAAGTGAAGATGGTGCAACTCTTCACAGCTTTTCTGATCTGTGGAAGGTCGGGGCTGAGTGTTTACCCATATGATCTCTCAGTTGGGATGGTTGAGCAGTGTGTTCTTGTGAGGCTCTGGACTAATCACATAGCACTTCAGTTTAACGTCAAAAACATTGGAAGGAAAAAAACCACACACATCAGAAGAACCACATATCAGAAAATACCTGATGGAATGAAATAAAAGAAACAGCCAGACTCCTCTTTGTTGCACACAGTGACAAGACAGGAGATGATGGGCATAAAGCCATATTACAGAAATTACTGTTCAGACATAAGAAAAACTTGAGCACTGTGAACAGTGAGCAAAAACTGGCACAGGTTGCTTAGAACAGTTGTGGAGTCTCCATCCTTAAAAGTATTCAAATGCTAGCCACGCATAGCCTGCTTGAGGCACCCTCACTTCAAGTAGAAGGTATGGACTAGATGGTTTCCAGAGATCCCTTCCAGTCTCAACAACTTGGATTCCTAGATTGTCTTCCCCAATATATCTACACTATTACCCAGGCTGGCTTCAGCATTTCAAGTTTCTAGAATGCTTCACAGAAAATGTCCTTTTCTAACACTTCTTAATGCAACTTTTAGTCCCTCCATGTAAAGATAGTGGCTCAAGATAAGCAGCAGAGGAAGTATTAGGTAGTTAAATTATATTTCTCCTGACATCTGTTAGATTATTGAGTATTGCTGGAACCAGTGCTGTCAATATTTAGGTTTGGATTTTAGATGTTTAGTTGTCTGATTAAGCTGTTTGTATCTTAGCTCAAGAAGTATTTTATGTGGGAGAACACCTACACTGGTTACTAAATACTTGTGCAAATTCTTATTTGGTATCCAGCATCATTAAAATTCATGGTTGTGCCATCTGTTCTTTTCATCACTTGTCATATGAGTGGTCATATGCATGTGTACTCTAAATGTGTCACAAAATATTCCAAGGAAATATCAGACAAGGAAATATGGGGAAAAATATTACCTTGTGTACCTAGGCTCTGTTACAAGTGTATTTGATGTATTTTCTGGATGGCATTTAAACAGTTTTTTGAAGTTAATGAAGTGTTGCATAATCCCATGGCACAATGCTTGAAAATAATGTGCATACACAGTATGAGAGATGCAAAGAAATTTGTGCTGAAGCTATTAGAACATCAGTGCTCTCACTAATTCTTAGAAACAATATTTTTACTATTTGTAAGAGTTTCCTCTTCTGTGTGGTGCCCTAGGCCAGGCTGATGGGAATTGTGATGTAGGCCCACTGCATTACAGTGGTATTTTTTCTGAGAGTGTTCTGAGTGGTTGATACAGGCAGGAGAAAAGCTTGTTTTACTACTACCTTAACTTTGATTTGATATGACTATGATATGATATGAAGTGTTTAGAATCACAGAATTGTTAAGGTTGGAAAAGACCTCTAAAAGCATCAAGTCCAACTGTTAACCTAACACTGCCATGTTCACCACTAAACCATGGCCCCAGGTGCCACATCCTCTGGTGCAGCTTGAGGCCATTTCCTCTCATTGTGTTGCTGATTGCCTGGGAGAAGAGACCAACCACCATCTGGCTACAACCTCCTTTCTGGTAGTTGTAGAGTGATATGGTTCCCCCTGAGCCTCCTTTTCTCCGGGCTAAACACTCCTAGCTCCCTCAGCCTCTGCTGATAGGACTTGTGCTCCAGACCCTTCACCAGCTCCGTTGTCCTTCTCTGGACATGCTCCAACACCAAATATGGATTTTGATAATAGTAGATCCTACCAGGCCTGGAGGTGCAAGTGCTCAATGTTGCTCAAATTATCTTGGCAAAAATCGGTCCATGTACCTATAGGTCAAACCAATCCTTTGTATGAGGCCTTTAAAATGGCAAATTCTGAAATCTTTTATTGGGCTGCCTTTATAGTGTTAAGAGTTCTTATTGTGATTTGGAATCAGTATTTGTTAAGTTCAACAGTGGTTATTTCTGTTGATCACAAGAGACTTACTACAGTTTTCAGGGAGAGGAGTGACTGACAATTGTTTAAAATTTCACACCTTTTTATTGGTGAGATGATGAGATTTTTGAACACTGCTCTTGGCAAAACATTACTCTTGAACACTAAACATTTGATCAACACTATTTTTCTGTTTCCCTAACCTGCCTTCCACCTGTAAAAAGATTACAGTACAGCAAAAACGTAGGTTTTTGCTGCTACCTTTTATCCTCTATGTTAATCCTGAAACATGCTTGTGGAGAGTTAAGTGAGGAAACAAAGACTTGTGAGGCCATGAAGGGAATGAACTCACTTAGGCAGTAAGTTCTCAGTGTATATTGTTAAAGCTGACATGCATAAGAAATTTCTTAGAGCCTTCTGAAAAAAAGCTTTTTTTAATTATGTTTTCTAAAGTGCCTGTTTAGCTTTTAAATCTGGAGTAATCAGTTTATTCCAACTTTCATTTCTAGTGATATTTTTGTTCAAATTAATTGGTGTCTTTCCTCCCTTAAGCTTTGTTTAATATAAACTATATTTTTATTCTTGCTTGCAAATATTGCAGATATCCTAGCTTGCTGTTTGTGGAAGGCTTCTTAGAATTCTTACAGAGTTCTTTAGACTCTTCCCAGATTGCTGTGTTCTGGACTGACACACTCCTGTCATGGAGCTGCTGGATAAAAGGATGAGTAGTAAGCTGAAAAAATCGTGGCATCTAATTTCCCGGCTTGTTTTTTAATTACAGATAGGTGCTGAAACAAGGATATGGTTGTGATTTGAAGTATAGTAATGAACCTTTTGGGATTTTTTCTTTATAAAGGATTGAAAGATCATTCGGAGCTCCAGAATTAGATCTCGTTATAGACTGGTAGGGCCTGATTAAAAGTCTGTTGTAAATAGTGGAATATCGCCTCGGTTAGATTTCATTCAGGTCGTAAATAGTCCTCTCTTCAGTTCCGCATAATGGGTGTATTAATAATTTGTAAAGAGTCTCTGAAGTTTTTACCAGTATCTTGTACCATTCTTTTAGGAACCTGGAGTCTACAAGTCATCTGATATATCTTGTTAAAACACACACTGTTAAAATGCAATCTTTTTGTGGCTCTTTCCTCATCTTGAAATAGGAACTTGTATTGTGGCTTCAGTGTTTTCTGTGTGGCATTTGGGGGTTTTTCTGTGAAAAAATGGTGTAGAATGGCATTAAGGTGATCTCTTGGAACAGTCTGATTTTAAAGGGAATTAGGCAATATTTAAGTCACATTATAATAAGGTGAATGAGCTGTTGTTAAATAAAATGGTTAATATCTTCTTTTCTTCCTTATTTAGCAGCTGAAGGTTCTGAAACACAAGACAAGAAAATCACTTCAGGACAAAGCAACACTGGAAGTAAACCAGGTATGCCTTTCCACATGCTCCATGTTAAAAGGCTGTTTGCCTCAATGGTGTATGGGAAGCAGCTGGCTTAGGAACTTCTAGAGTTTTTTGCTTTTGTACCTCTCTTGCTGTGTCAGTCAAAATGGTACCACTGACTGTTCGTATTTAGTTAGGCTGGAATCTGTGATTGTTTGCAAAGATGCAAAACTAAAAGAGTCTACTTGTATTTTAGTACTGCTTAGGAATGAGGGTTGGGAAGTGATATAAGACAACAGAAGCCACTCTACTTGTATCTGTGCTTGAATGAGAATTATCTGCTGTAGGCAGAGATTTACAGCTTTTATATAAATGTGCTTCTGTTGAGGCATTTCTTCACTTACTACAAAGCATGCTCTATTCTGTAATGTACTCTATGCAGTGGGCAGATGTTTCTCATTACTTCACCATACCTGATTGGTACATTGTGTGGATTTAATTCACTGTTCACTTGTACAGTTGAAAGTGTAGGTACTAAAACGCCTAATGCAGTCCTTGGTGCCCTGGGTCTGTTCCACTTGCGTGCTTAGACTAAGGTCCAGGAGAGCCCTTAGATATCTAAATTCTGCTTGTAGTGCAATTCAGGTACCCAAGTTTAAAATATGCAGTTAATAATGATTTTGTTTAGGTGCCTTAGAAAGCATAGGTGCTTGTGTTGCTGAGGACTAGGCACACTGTAAGCATTCCCTTTTCAACTCCTTGACAGCTTGGCAGCTCAGTGACTGTTTTGTTCTGACAGACTCTTCTCTATCCCCAAACGGGGTACCTTTGGTCTACCTCCCCAGAGGGAAGGAATCCCATTGCTGTCTGTGTTCAGATCACACCTTGCATGCTCTGCCAGGCAGCGCTGGGTCCTACACAAGGCACAGTATTCATGGCTGCTTTCAATCAGAAAGGCAGTGGGAGAAAGAGGAGAAAATAAAGATAACATTACCTGCTTCCACAGCAAAAACAGAGCTCTTGGTGTTGGACAGTGTTCAATACCCACTTTATCCTGCGGTAGTTTAATCCAGTTTTCATTTCTCAGGAGAGCATCCTAGCTGTTCCTATGTTCCCTTGATCTATGCTGGTGTGTAGAAAGGAACGCAAAATTCTTGGGGCCGGAGAGAGGGAAGGCACAGGCATGTGTCTAGGGTTTAACTCTACACCCAGCCTTGTGGGAATTCATGTTGAAGAAAGAGCTTCTGAGAGATGGTGATTTGGTTTTTGTTTGTTCGAAGTTTGTTGTTGTTTTTTCTTTATACTGCATATGAATTTTGTGTCAAACTGTTTTAGTTAAAAAACAAACCAGTTTGCAGCAGAGCAGTGACAGCTGTCATTATGAACAATGTCCATATTGCCTGGAAGGTGTCCGTAGAATGAAAAAATATTGGGAGTCCAAAGCAACTTTGAATGTGTGCATGGCATTGCAAAGGGAGTTAGAAAAAGGGAAAAGGGTTTGAGATCCAAGCAATGCATCTTTTCAAGTAGTACCATGGCTTCCATTTCTTTCTCCCCTGGGTTAGTTCGTAGGTGTGAACTGACATACAAACTGACTGTTGCTTTCCACTTGATATCCCTTTTAGTTTCTTTAGTGTAAGAAATTAGCACCCTAAGAGTCTTGGGCAAATGGGAGAGATGTGTGATCTGAACACAGACAACACTGGGATTCCTTCCCTCTGGGGAGGTAGACCATTCATGAGAAGAGATTGTGAGAGGATTATAGATGGAAATGACGAATAGTAGTTGAGTGACTTTTGAAGCCACACTGAGTGAAGCTGATAGTATGAGCCACAGAAACTGGCAGTATGTTCTAAGTGCATATGACAATTGTTAATTTAGCAACTTAATTCCTACAGCTGTCAACTGTGCCTAAGAGTTTGTTGAGTATTAATTATATAGAAGATTTGAAAACTTGCTTTTCCCTTTTGGTAATATAATTAGGGACCAAAATATAGTTAGGGACGTTTCAGTGCTGAATTTCTGCAAAATACATTTGTAGCTTGTAAGCTTTTAAAAATTAAACTATTAACTTATTAAAATGAATTTTGAACTTGTACTCAGGTGTTGTAAGTTTATGGGAAAATACTGTTTTCATATGTAATTTAGAAGCTTTATTTCCAGCAGCAGGTAGAAATTTAAGTTTCCCTTTATAGAACTATGGCTTATTTATTTTCCAAACATCCCTCTCATACAAATGCTTAATTCTATACCTGTTATGTAAATGTAGTGAAATAGGTTGCTTCGTGTGAGTTCCCGCATATTGTATCATAACTAAACTGCAGCTTCTATAGCAGCATGTGGATCTTCCTGGAGTGTTGTCTATAAGGCTTTGCATATCAATTATTTCTGTAAAAAATGACGAATTCTTGCAAGATTTGTTGCAACTGACATGTTTCCCATCTTCTTGTGCAGTAATGTAAATCTTATTGCCTGATGATGAATATGAGCGAGAGAGAGTACAAAGTACTGTGTGTGTTTGTCTTGGTATTCCTACTGAATAAGAAAAATACCAGTCCCACAGGTATTTGTATGATGGGTTGTTAGTGAGTACAGACATGAGAAAGAAAATGGGGAGCAGGCCCAGTGAACCCAGTGAACTCCCTTGTTTTGCCACAGTTTGAAACTACTGATGCTATGCACTGAGGCTGCCAGCAGATCACTTGGATTCAGAATACAATTGTTGGAGGTTGGGCTTGTAGCCAAACTATGAAGGATCATTTTCAAGGCACAGAAAAGACATTTTAATTATCAGTGTAAGATTTGTACTGATAATATATGCTCCAACCCCTAGCAGAGCAAATGCAATGATGGTCTGCTACAAAGGAGTTATTCCCATCTTTGTACTAATATTGATTTAGCTCTTTGTGATCCCAAATGTATGCAAAATAGCTTGTTACTGAAGACCTACTTACACTGTGCATAGCCTGCAACTTCGTGTGAATTCTCTAGGATTGTTCTAAAATCCTGGGGTGTTGGGAGAGGGGCTGTTCATGCATGAATGTCATCAGGTGTGTGATATAGAAAAAATAATTGGATATCTTCCAAGAAAGTGTCAGAGGGCAACTTTAAAAATTTATTTTATTCCTTCTGTTGCTTATAATTAGGAATTCTTAGGGGAGACCTTTTCAGTTTGCCTGTCCATGTAACCCTCCTGCCTCTTTGAAGAATTGGTTTTTTTCCCCGATAGGGAAATCTCTCTTCTCAAGAAAGGGGGGGAAAAAAACCCAACGGAAAGGATATTCTGAAAGAAGCAGGTTTTTACATTATTCCCCAGTGTCTCATCATTTTCTGTCAACTCAATGTTACATTGACTTTGCTGACAGCCCTTGAAGGGAATCCTTGTTTTCCAGGGGAATTCATATTGAATGTGCATTATTCCACAAGCACTAATTACTCATGCTACAGAAATTCATGTTTTGTGAATCCTCTGTGCCAGTCACGAGAGAGAAGGAATACTATTACCCTTTTGACCTGTGTCTGCATGCTAAAGAGACTGCATGCGAGTCAGCACACTTCTTCACATCAGCCAAATGTTAATCCGTACCATACAATGGACAAGTCTGTGCGATGGCATGGCTAGGCATGGTTTTATAAATGGCAACACTGTGTGCTATTCAACCAACATTACAGTTTTGATCTGTAAGTGGGTGATGGATTACCTTTGTCTTTGCTGGTGACTTGTTCCTGTTTTGCACCTTTCATTGTTGCTATCATGTTTGAATGTTCTTCCTGCCAACTATGCAATAGGTTTTCTCCTTGCAGCTGTTACTTTGCATTGCTGTTAATGCCCTTAATTGGGGCTCTAGTCTGACGTTGCTGAGATGATAGTTTTTCACTTGTGAGAGTTCAAGAGTATTTAAGCTGAAGTTGTCAGTGAACTGGTTCATCCAAGAAATCCTGTCATCCTTATGCAGGAACTTCTGTTAGAGTATGAAATGCTCATTATTGGGTTTTTTTGTCTAATTCAGATAACTATTCAAAATTAGTCTAGCTCATCCTCACTTCAGAGATGTATTTTTGCAAATATCTTTAACCTCAGTTTTATGACCCATTGTATTGTTTTGCTAGTAACTTTCTTCACAGGTATGCAGCCTATACGCAAGTAGGCTGGCTGTATATTTTTACAAGTTACTTACTTGTGTATTTACACTGAATAGCGAAAAGGCTCTACTGTCTTGTGCACTTTCATGGTGACAGCATTCTGGATAGTTCTTTATCTTAAAATACTTAAAAAGTGTGTTCCCCTCAATACTTAAATAAATCAGACCATTTATTTATACCCAGAAATCTTTTTAATTTTTCTGTGGGGTTTTTGGTTTACTTATTCAAAGCGAACTTTTTCAGTTCTAGTGAAACAAGCATAAAATTAAGAGCTTTCCAGGTTTAGTAGCACAGGCTAAGGAAATTGGTTTTCACAGCATGCTGAGATGAATTGGTAACTTGGACTTTGTTCCCTTTGTTTGGAACCACTCCATTGCTGAGACTGGAAGTAGGATGCTAGCTGTTCAGAACTTTATTGACTTCCAGAGACATCACTGAACAAGTGATGTTTTTCCAACAGAGCCTGAATTTTTAAAGTCAAACCTGAGCTCTGACAGAGGTTTTTTTCATATTATCCTTAGTCTTATTGCTGTGATCCAAGGGGCCAGTTGCAGATATTCTTAAAGATATGTAGCTTGCTTTCAACCTACAAGGATAGTTGAGGAAGTCATTGTCTTACTTTTCTGGTATTATACCAGTCCATGCATGTGTTGCACTCACTGCTTTTAATGTATTTGTTGGAGTTTTTAATACATGTGCACACAAATATCTGTTGAGATCACTGTCATGCTGTCTTCAGAGGCTCAGCCAGAGCTGCTTCAGAACTACTCAGCCAGATCAGTGCTTTGATCCAAACTGTTTTGCTTGGGTGCTGAACTTCTTCAGCATTGTGAAATAGGGTTTTTTGGTTGTTCTGAGGCAATATTGTTGGGAAGAAGATACTTTATTGTAATAGAATTTCCAGTGGGTGCATTTTGGAGAGAGGTTACGGAATAATAAATTTTTGTCAGAATGCTCTCAAGCAGTCAAGTTGTTTTGGGCATGGAAATAGAACTTCTTCCTGAGTTTTCACAGGCAGTAGTCTTCTGGGTGTTCACAGTTAAACCTTGGTCTGTTCTTTGGGAGTGTTTTACATCTTAAATGTGAGTACATACTGATTATCAATTGTTCTGGATTTTTTTTCATATGATTTCTGAAAATGTGATCTATTTGGACATTAGAGTAGTTAGAGTTGTTTAACAGCCATTTTCCTGAAAGTTTGTTTATGGTAATATTTGATTTTATGCTATGTGCCTAATGTTTTCCCCCTCCCTCTATTTGTAGATCATCCAACAGTACTAAAGGTTGATGACAGGCAACGGCTTGCCAGAGAACGGAGAGAAGAACGAGAAAAACAGCTAGGTAAGGCCTGCTCTGGGTTTTTTATTGTTTGAGATTTTTTAATGGACTATCATCTGCCTGCGGTGGTTTTGCCAGTTTACTTTTAGAAACATTCAGTAAAATAATTGTGCTACATATGCAGTAGTGTCATTCTTAATACATTATTCTGTCTTTAAAGTAGATCTTTTAATTCATCTTGGGATTCATCAGTGCTAAATCTCTCACCTATTTTATGACTGTAAATAAAAATGAGTTGATTTCTGAAATCATGCAAGGAAGCTTCCCTGATATAAATGGAATTTTGAAGTTTTAGAATATTTTACCAATTAAGATTAGACTACTTAATGTGTTGGGGGCCCCTGGTGGTCTAGTGGTTAGGGTGCAGCACTTTCACCGCTGCGACCCGGGTTTGATTCCCAGCCCCCCGGGCA